AGCAAGGTGGAGAGGACTGTGATGAAGAGGGTAGCCTAACCTTGCTGGGGAGACCCCACTTCTGGCACCTGAGCATCTCACTGGCCTCTGCTCCATCCCAAAGCCCCCGTCCCAGGGGCAGGTTATGGCAGGAGGGCTGCCTGGCTTATAGGATTCTTTGCTCTCCTCAGGGCAGAAAGGCCTAAGGCTGTACTTAGGCTGAGGCAGGAGAGCTCGATGCTGGTGTGCAGAGGCCACTCTTCCCAGAGTGGGAAGGCCTCTCCTGATGTGTCATAGTCTTGGAGGTGGGGTAGAGGGTAGGCAGGGCCGGCCAGCTGCTGAGAACTTGTGTTTCTTTATGGGTCCTAGAGGGAAATCCCAGGTCGCTCTGAAGATCATCCGCAATGTGGGCAAGTACCGGGAGGCCGCCCGCCTGGAAATCAATGTCCTCAAGAAAATCAAGGAAAAGGACAAGGAAAACAAGTTGTGAGTCTGCAGGGGAAGGAGGGAAGTCTACAGGGCAGAGATTGTGCTGGCCCCTGCTATGGCCGAGGTGGTAGGCAAGCGAGCTTGCTTTCGGGCCTCCACAGGTCAGTCCTGCTCCACCTCACAGCTGTGTGCTGAAGCAGGCCTAGCTCTACACTGGGGAGCAGGACTCCCACTAGAGGACACTTCCAGGACAGACACCCAGCTCACCTCTCCCCAGCACTGCCTCAGCCTGCGAAGGGCGTCCTGAGTGTGCTGGGCTCTTCCCCATCTGCAGTGGATGCACTGGACCTGGAACCCTGGGTCCCCATAGCAGGGACTCTGTACCCCAAGGTTCACCTGGGTCATGGCCAAGGGGAGCTATGCCTGGCTGGCACTGGGGTCCTCTCTGTGTGTCTCAGCACCAGTGTGCGACTCACACATGGCCTGTTGAGAGAAGGCAGCCCGGCACAACCTAAGCCTCCCTTCTCTTCCCCAGCCTGTGTGTGTTGATGTCTGACTGGTTCAACTTCCATGGCCACATGTGCATTGCCTTTGAGCTCCTGGGCAAGAACACCTTTGAGTTCCTGAAGGAGAACAACTTCCAGCCTTACCCCCTCCCCCATGTCCGGCACATGGCCTACCAGCTCTGCCATGCCCTCAGGTGTAAGTGTGCACAGGCGGGGGGTGGCCCACTTCCCCCTCATGGGGGAAGCAGGAGGGAGGTGGGGGCCTTGGGCCCAGGCTCTGCTCCAGGCCCACAGGAAGGGGCTGTAGGGCTGGCCCAGCTCCAGCCCTGCCTCCCACCTTCACAAAGAAAAAGGACAGAAGCTGGAGCTATGTTCAGGTCCCTTGTATATCCTCTGCCAGGAGACTCAAAGTCTATCCCTTATGTACTCACCAGCCTCAAAGGGCAGATTTGGTGGCATCATTGCTTGGCAGTGTTTTTGACCACTAAGGCAGCAAGGAGAGGTCTCTGGAGAGGACAGGGATGATGATGCAGAGCTTGGATGTATGGCGTCTGCTTAGGTGGCAGAGAATGGGACCCACAAGTTCAAGGGGCAGCTCTGAAGGCTGGCCTGCTGAGACTTGGAGAGTGAAGGCTTGAGTGGAAACATGGGCCACGCCTGGGAGGCTCTGTGGTGCCCAGTATGAGCCCTGAGCTACAAGTGCTAATTGCAGGAAACCACTGCTGGTGGGACATGGGCAGGTGGGAGACTGCCCTGGCTTGAACAGCATGACCTTGCTTGCATTTTACAACGGGCCCAGAAATGTTCCTCCTGGTGCTAGAGCCCAGTAGGAAGGCCTAGTTTCCACACAGGAGAGGGGAAGAAAGTGTTCTCACTTTCCTGTCCCTCCAACCTTTTCTTCCTGGTAAAGGATCAAACCTAACCCTTTTTAAAACTGAGGCAGGGTCTTGCTAAGTTGCCCTGGCAAGACTAGTCACTTTCTTATCTCAGCTTCGCTGTGTGTTGATATTACATACATGAGCCTTTGCTTCTTTTGACCTTTTTAAGGGCAGGATCCTCAGCTCTTGAGAGGGAAGCCAACAAAGACTAGCTTCCTGGTCTTTCAGTCTGGCTTCCTGCTGGAGCAGAGGCCCAAGGTCTCAGGCTGCCTTCCTCTTCCTTCACCCCTAGTTCTACATGAGAACCAGTTGACCCACACAGACTTGAAGCCAGAGAATATCCTGTTCGTGAACTCGGAGTTTGAAACCCTGTACAATGAGCACAAGGTAGGGCACAGTGGGGAGGCTGCACCCAGTCCTGGGGTGGACATTCTGGATCAGGGCTCACTGGGCCGGCCACCTTGCCTTCCAGAGCTGTGAGGAGAAGTCGGTGAAGAACACCAGCATCCGAGTGGCCGACTTCGGCAGTGCCACATTTGACCATGAGCATCATACCACCATTGTGGCCACCCGACACTACCGCCCACCCGAGGTCATCCTGGGTGAGTGAGGCCCCGCCAGCCGTGTCACACAAAGCAGTTGTGGGGACACGAGCAGAAGCGGGGTGGCATCCCTGTCAGGCCAGGTCTTACCACCCCTCCCTCGGCTTGCAGAGCTGGGCTGGGCACAGCCCTGTGACGTCTGGAGCATCGGCTGCATCCTCTTTGAGTACTACCGTGGCTTCACACTCTTCCAGGTATGCTGTGCTGCCCCTCCTGGCTCAAGAAGGGAGTGCCTTCTAGGGTAGCAAGGAAAGGGGACTGGGTGGGAATGAGTTGTAGCAAGGGCAGAATGAAGTGGCACGGACCAGCCGTGGCCTGGGGGCAGGGCTGGCACCACCTTCCAGTGGCAGGTTTGCGCCTCCTGGATGAGGTCTGGTCCCATCTGTTCTGTTAATGCTGGGACTGACCCCTGCTGCTCTGTCCTGGCCTGCAGACCCATGAAAACCGAGAGCACTTGGTGATGATGGAGAAGATTCTGGGCCCCATCCCATCACACATGATCCACCGCACCAGGTGAGGATGCTGGCTCCCTTGGGCTACAGCAGGCAACGGGGCCACCTGCGACAGCAGACCCACCTGCCCTGTCAGCCCCTGCTGCCACCGCCATGAGCCTGGCACCTTCAGTTCCACTGCTTGACACACCCTTCCTAAATTTCAGGAAGCAGAAATATTTCTACAAAGGGGGCCTGGTTTGGGATGAGAACAGCTCAGATGGCCGGTATGTGAAGGAGAACTGCAAACCTCTGAAGGTCAGTTTCTGGCGCTCTCCTCCTCAGCTCATGCTGAAAAGACCCCAGGCACTGGGCAGACACTTGTGCTCCAGCTAGGGGTCAGCATCTGGCACTGGTGGCTTCCTACAGCCACCCCAAGGGGCCCTTAGCACAACCCCTTGCCTACTGAGTGGGCTAAGAATGTAGTTGGGAAGCAGCAAAGGAGCCTGGTGCCCAAAAGAAACTGCAGTTTCCTATTGTCTCAGTTTTGGGAACAAGCAGGCGAGGGGAAAGGGTGACCTAAACCTGGCCAGGAAGCCTGTAACTGCGCTTGCTGCCAGGCTGGACAGTTGGGTATAGATGTGATTTCTATCCACTGGTCAGGACTTTGCACTAGCAATGTGGGGTAGATGTGCCAGCCTATCAGGATGCCCCGTAACTTAAGTTTCAAGTGAACCATTAGAGCACAGGTATAGAAAGAATGGAGCTGCTGTTGTCCTAGAGGGCAGAAGTAGAGTCCTCCAAGGAGAACCGAAGCTTGGCAAGGTCTCCTAGCAGTGAGGGAACTGGAGTGGCTCCCACCACCCACCTTCACAGCAGGCACCTTGTGTCCCTGAGCAGAGTTACATGCTCCAAGACTCGCTGGAGCATGTGCAGCTATTCGACCTGATGCGGAGGATGCTAGAGTTCGACCCTGCACAACGCATCACACTGGCAGAGGCCCTGCTGCACCCCTTCTTCTCAGGCCTCACCCCCGAGGAGCGGTGCTTCCACACCAGCCGAAACCCCAGCAGATGACAGGAGCGGCCTGTGTACCAGGAGGGGGAGGGGAACTGGGCTCCTTTCTCCAGCCTCTGCCACCGGCCTCAGGGCCAGAGCCACCAATGAACAGTGCAATGTGAAGGAAGGCAGGAGCCTGCAGGACACCCAGCTGCCAGAAAGCACAGATTTGACCCAAGCTATTTATATGTTGTAAAGTTATAATAAAATGTTTCTTACTGTTTGTAACCCCTGGTACCAGTGTGTCCATCTCCAGGCTCCTGACCTTACTAATAAAGTCTGATTAGCAGCTTAGCCTGTGGAGAGCTACATGTGGACTGGCCAGGCACAGAGGGTAAGCAAGGAGGTAACCAATGCTGGGATAGCTCCAGGCTTGGTGGCACATAACCCCAAGAAGGCTGTGGGGTTATTAATTGTCCTGCTAGATTTTAGCATCCAAGGTACCAGGATCCACTGAGGTGCAGCCAGACAGGGGGGCTCCTGATGGGGTATGGCACCCCACCACCACCCACAGAGCAGAACACACAACTTGCTTGTTCAACTTTATTGTAGTGCTGGTTTTGGTTTCCCAAGAGCTGCATGAATGTCAGGTTTGTTTGGTCACCTGTCAGAATCTCTTGGGGTCTGGCCACTGGGCAGGAAACCTCTGAGGAGTGGAACTGTGCCCATCTTAATACCTCTGGGGAAGCCCAGACTGAGGTCAAGGAGGTCCCTGTGCCATTGAGGAGAAAAAGAGGCCAGGGCACAAAATCCCAATGGTTGCTCAGCAATGTGCCTACTGGCACTACCATCCATCACACCCACCAGAGACCAGTCCAATCCAGGCCCTAGGTCAGCTGGCTGCCTGGCCTCCTGGACTCTAGCTCACCCAGCCTGAGTGCTACCTGGCCCTGAGAGAGGGTGGAGGCACAGCATGGGGCACTGGCCACCTCCTACTGGAGTCCACACTGGAGAGAATGATTGGAGGAGAGGGGCCGGCCCTCTGCTTCTGCTGCCTGTGAAGAAATGACAAGGAGCCCAGACCCTGGCACTGCAGCCTTCCCTGTGACCACAATCCTCAGCCAGCCCATCCTTGCCCCCTAACCCATCCTCCCTCCCACCCTTTCCTCAGCCACTATGGGCAGAGCAAAAGTAGCCTGAAGCCCTTTGTATTTGCACAGCAACCCACCAAGGCTCCAGGCTTGGCCCTGTTCCACCCACCTCCAGTGCTGGTCCAGGTAAGCCCTGGAGCTGGGCATCCAGGATTCAGTGGCAGGCTGCCCACTAATGGGCTCATCCAGAGCTAGGCCTTATTGGGGCATCTCTGAGATAAGTTGCTGCCCAAAGCCTATACATCAAGAGTGACAACCAGAAAAGCCAAGTCCAGACCATAACACTGAGGAGCCCAGGAAGGAGGGGGATGAGCCCTTGCTCTGGGATGGCAGCTATGGGGGAGCATTTTGAGGGGCAGGCAGAGGGGATGGAAGGGTGTGGGGATGTGGGAATGGGTTAGAAAAGCACCAGGAGCCACCTCATACAGCACCAGGCTTCCCTTACAGCTGCACCCTGAGGAATTTGGCCCAACTTAGCAAAGACAGCCACCAGCCAGGATGGGTACTGTTAGCAATACAGGCAGGCCACTGTGGTTCTCCAGTAACATAACCTTGTATGAGCTGCACTGAAGACCACAGCCAGCCAACAGACCCCACTATGGTGATACCATCCTGAGCCCCTGTCCCTTGCCTCTCACAGAGGGGGAACAGAAATACCTAACCCAGCACAATACCTGGCCTGGCTCAGAAAGGGATAAAAGCCCCTCGTGACTACCCTCTGCTGGACAGGTTGCCTATGACCACAATGAGGGCTGCAGCTGGGCAAGCAGGAGACAAGTCCACAGCAGTACAGGCACAGAGCCTGGTTCTCTGAGCCCTCCTGGCCCGTGCTTTAACCCTGAACAGTCAGAGATGCCTGTGTCTGTAAACAAACCCCATGGGTAGAGGACCCTGGTGCTCAGCCACCACCAGGCCACAGGCCAGCTTTCAGTGTGTTATCTCACAAAAGAAATCAACCCCAAAGAGGAAAACAGCAAGGCCCATGAAGCTTCACATCCTTAAGGCGTCCATCGTCAGCTGACAGCAGGGTTCTAGGCAGAGTGCAAGGGAATGACAAACTTGCAGCCAAAGGGCGAATGGTAGCTGATGCCCACCTCTTGGAAGACCTGTTGGGGGATGCCAATGTCGCATAGGTAGATGCGACCTGCGTGCTCCCCCAGTGGCAAGGGAAGGCCCAGTGCCAGGGACCACTTGGCATCAATGCCCTGCTCCACTTCATGCACAGGAGGGTCTATGCTGAGCACTGGTGCCCGGTTCTTGTTGGCCCAGGCCACTGCTGCCTTGTACCAGGGCTGATCCCGCAGGAAGGCATTCTCGGGGCAATCCAAGCAGTTGATGACCAGGTCCACAGGGCTGGTAGGCAGATCTGCAGAGGAAAGGGTGCTGTGTAGAACCTGGAGCACAGAGCAGCCAAGCAAGACAAAGCTCGGGCCCAGACAGCAAGTACCCACTCCAGGTTGGGCCAGGTGTGGGCCCGGGAGTTCCAAGCCGGGTCAGACTGGGGCCACTGCCCTCATGGGGTTCACAGGCTGCTGAGGGACAAGTCTCACACCCCTCCACCTTAAAGGTAGGACCCACATCTGAGCAACCCCAGGGGCATCACAAGCTCTGGAAGACTAGGTCCACTGTGGAGTCACCCTCACAGCAAAGACTGCTGAGAGTCCAGGAGAAAGGGGAGTGGCAGGATCATGATAGCAAGTAGTGACAGCACACAAACTTCCAGGCTGCTCCGTTTCCCCTGGAAATGAAGAGACATAGCCTCCTAGCAGTTAAAGGGTCCCTGTGCTTGCTCAAGCAGGCCTCTGGGTCAGCTCAGCAACAGCAATCTCAGCAAGCTGCCTGGAGTAGCCCAAGAGAGCAGAGCTCAGGCCACAGTCAAGGTCATGCCAGGGCAGGCAAGACAGGCAGCCCTTTGGAAAGGTCAAGAGCTGCCCAGGAAGAGGCGCACAAGCTCCCAGCCTGTAGCGCTGGTCTACCTCACACACAAACGGGGCTCTGCTCAGTGCTCACCAATGTATGGAGTCTTCAGCATCGGGGAACCCTAAGGAGTCTTCTGTGTGCCCACAGGGGCTGGCCTGAGCTGCTGGCCAGGCCGCTGTGCACACTGTTCTCTCCAGTCTTCTCCCCAACTCTCACACTCGGTCCCACCACACTCTGCCCACAAGATGGCCCTGTCAGATCACCAGAGGCCCACGCTGCTAAGACAGGGCGAACCTTCCTACCAATTTGGCTGGGCTTGTAGCCCTTGACTTCCACAGCCCAGGCCACTTGGATTTTCAAACTGTACCTACCACCACTACAAGTGGGGTCTGTTCTTCCCTGTGGCCCCTTACTGGGTTAACCTCTGTGATACAGCACCACAGCTCCTCAGACTGAAGCCTGGCATTGTTCCCAGCCACCTTCTCTCTTGACATCCAATGTGCTCACAGCAGACTGACTCAGAGCCCAGCCATGTCCATACCTTGGGCACAGCCACCATGAGTTCTAGTCCTCAGCAACAGCTTCTTATACCCTGAATCTGACCCCCTGCTCTCAGGGGAACTGAGGTGCACCAGAGCATCATCTCCAGTCTGATCTCCCACCACCCAACTCACCCAGTCCTCCAGCACAGCTTCCTTCTAACCACTACCTGCCTAACACTCGGCACCCTCGCCTTTATCCCCCTCTACCCAAATAATGAATTTTTTATTTTTTTTAATGTATTTGGCACAGAGTCTACAGGGTATCACTACATAGATTGGACTTGTAGTGATCCTCCTGTTTTCAGCCTCCTAAGTGCTGAGATTACAGGCGCACACCACCATACCATCTCAATCACCATCTCAGCATGCCCCAGGGGTGGGGCCAGCACGGCACACTGGGAATTGAACCCTGGCCACTGCTCTCTGCCTAAGCAGGCACTTTAGCCTGCTGAGCTATTTGGCTGGCCCAAAGAATGAATTTTAAACAGGTGGTGCCAAATCCCCATTACCAGGAACAGTGCCTGTCCTACAAATAGGTGTGAAATGAACAAGTGTGAAAGGATGAAGGGCAAGGGACAGGATTCAGCACTGCCAAGACTCTAGAGCAGTTATGGCAAACCTTTCAGAGCTTTCAATGATAAAATAGCCTGCTGCAATGCTCATGCCACTGCCCTAGAGCCTGAGTTGCCTTTCCATCTGTCACCGCTGGGTGGCACTACCAGAACATCACACAACCTCAAGTAGTGGACAAGAGCATCCCAGCCAAGTACTCCACTGCTGTGCTACGCCTAGCCCTGGGACTCACCTTTGAGGCTGGACACCTGCTGGCCCTGGGTCTTGCTGAAGAGCGACAGCTCATTGGTAATGGACTCCAACATCTTGACAAAGTTGGGCAGGAAGAGAATGACCTGTACATCGTGGTTGGCCAAGTGCCTCCCACAGCTGATGCCTTGGGCCCCCTGCACGTGTGGCCCGCACAGCAGGGCCACAGTGGGCCTCTGGTGAACGTTCTTGGGGTTCAGCCTGGAACACAGAGTGAGAAGCAGTCACTGGCTGCAGACTGGCCAGATCCTCCCATCCCTATCAGACAACCTGCCTAGGCTGTCCTAGGGTAAGAGGGCCCAGATCCAGTGGGCAGGGCCCTGGGTGCCATTCCCACCACCTCCACCACAGAGTTTCTTCACAGGAGGTTTGACACCAGGGAGCCTACTGTATGCAACACTGTCACCAAAACCCTGATGGTTCCTCCTCTGTGATCCTTTAGGGACAAGCAAAGTGGCTTCTCCACCTCCATAGTCTTCTTTGTGCTCCATCCCAATATCACTGCACATCAGCAGCACTGTCCCTCACTCTTTTTTTTTTTTTTTTTTAATTGTGTGTGTGGCCAGCACAGCCCACCAGGGGGTGGGGCTGGCTGGCATGTGGTGCTGGGGGATTGAACTGCGGTCCCTTTGTTTTTGCTAAGCTTGTTCTAAGTAGGTGCTTTAGACCACTGAGCCATCTCACCAGCCCCTGTCCCTCACTCTTAATTTGCACTACTAGTAAGGCTCTCCCTGCCTGTGCTTAAACCACATCCCCTGCCAGAAAGCCCTCCTTTGTCAAATCCCCCATCTTTTTCTGAAGTTTTGCTGGAAGCTTGTTTCTCTGGGTCTACTTTGGCCACATCAATTCCTCTCTTCTCAGATCCAACTAAATGCTTAAGCTCTTTTTTTTTTCCCCCGAGACAGCATCTTACTATGCAGTTCAGGCTGGCCTTGAGCTAACTTTGTACCGAGGGTGGTCTCGAACTCACAATCCTCCTGCCTCAAGCTCCCAAGTGCTGCAATTATAGGTGTGTGCTACCATGCCCACCTGTTCAAGCACAGTTCTAAATTGTCCCTGCCAATCTCCACCCTCTGATTCAGCTCCTAGTGTGCTCATTGGAGAAACCTGAAGCTGTCACCAGTACGGCTTCATGGCACACCATGTGGGCAAAGGATATACAGAGCTTGGTGGTTCTGCTGCACCATGTACTCAGCTGATGCTGACCATAGGGGTGGCACTGCCTGGGTTGAAGCAGCCACCTCATCTCCTGCTCCTTAGAACTGAGCGCCTTTGGTTTCAAAGCAGTCACCAGTCAGGAGGCCTGGAGTTGCCCAGCTCCCAACCACAAAGCTGGCATCTGGGACAGAATGGCCAGGTCCCTATTTGGGGGCACAGTGACAAACCTAGTCTTCCAAAGGGAGAAAGACAACAGATGTCAGCAAGCCACAGAGAAGCGTCATGACTATCTCTTCCAAATAAACCTTGAAAAAATGAGCAACATAGACCAAACCATTCATTCTCTCCATTCTTTGTCCATCTTGAGGAACCATGATGAGAGCGGCTCCTGTCACTCAGAAGCCTCAGAATGCTGTGGCATCACTGTCCATCCCCAGTGGGCTATCCCTTCGCCCTCCCCTCCCCAGAATGAAAGCGTAACAAGTCCCTATAGGGACAGGACACACAGCACTGGAACAAAACCAGCCTTGTTACCAGGCAGCACTGCAGCTCCCTGAGCTGCTGCATGTGCAGTGCAGCACCAGCTGCAATGTTATCTTCAAGTGACCCTACATGAAACACAGGAAGTTCCACCATGTGAAAGTGCCATGCAGAGTCACACAGCAGCCAGCACACATCAAGTTTCAGGATTGCTATGGATCTACTTTGAGCTGAGCCAGTGGCAAGCAAAAAGACAGGGGAGACACTGAGAAGATGGGCAAGGGTCAGCCAGCCTGCAGATGCCAGCAGGGTAGGACTGTGGCCTAGCTTATTGTCCCCAAACTACTGTAAGTATGTTTTGTTTTTTAGACAAGCCTGTCCAGATTAGTGAACTGGGCTCAAATGACCCAGCTAAGCTCCCCAATCACTGGGTGAAAGACCTTAGCTTGGCCCTTGACACCCTAAGGGGCCCACTGTAGCAGATGGCAACCCAGACACATCTCCTTCAAAGAGCACTGCATACACCTGCTTACAGGAGCCGGCCCTGCCTGGCAGCCAGTGCAGCTGGAAGTGGACCCAGCAGGACAGGAGGAATAGCCGCTCCTGTCTACTGGGTAGCGGTGGGGGCTCAGAGGGAAACTTCACGTCTTCCTGAACCAAGGCGACTGTGACCAAGACTGCTTTAGAAGCAGGAGACACCTCTACTCAAGCACCTTCTGGGAATGTGGCTTCTTCTACCCAGAAATGTCCTCTCTGGAGAACACCTGGGACCCTGGTGGGCAAGAGTGCTGTCTTGCTCTTTGCATCTCCAGTGCTAAGCACAGATCTGGCCTGGTATCAAAAATATTCAATGTAAGGGCCAGCCAGATAGCTCAGTGGACTAAAGTGCCTTCTTTGACAGAGAGCAGTGGCTGGGGTTCGATCCCCGCCATGCTGTGCTGGCCCGGGGTGTGCTGAGATGGTGATTGAGACTGGGTGTGGTGGTGCAGGCCTGTAATCCCAGTGCTTGGGAGGCTGCAAACGGGAGACTCACTACAAATCCAATCTATGTAGTGAGACCCTGTACATCCTGAAGGCTTCTAGAAGGCAGGCCTCTGAGCAGGAGCCTCAAGACAGACAACTGGCATCAGAAAAGGAAGGCAGGAGGAGAGTGGGGACGTCCAGCAGCTGGCTTCAGGGTAAACAGAGATACCTGGAAGGAGACACTGAGGGGTGACCAGGTACCTTCACCCTGCCAGTCTTAAGGTACTCACCTGTTGGGTCCTCCCAGCAGAGTCAGTGCCATCTGACTGGCACATACACCTGTCATTTCCAGCCTCCGCTCCAGGGTCAGCCCATGCCTCTCTGCCACAGACAACAGCTTTTTATGTAGCTCATAGGAAACACTTGGGACCACCAGGCCAGAGTCTGCCATTCCAAAGGAAGGAAAAAGAGAAGGAAAGAGTGACTGGAGAAACGAGGTCCACAAATGAGTGTTACTCCACCTCCACGACAAAAACCTCACCGGCCCACGCTCTCCCTCTTTGGGAACTTAGATGCTCGACTGGCCCTGGAGTTCAAGCAGTAGATGTGAGCTCAGGAACAGCTTGGTCCCTTGAACACCTTAGAGGAGGACAAGCTTATCCTTCCAAGTAGTTTAGCTTCAAACCACAAAGGCCAAATCCACTGTGATGAGTTCAGTGTTAATAGCATGTAACAGCAACCTGTCCATCCCATAAAGGGCACACACTTCCTAAACACTAGGAACAGTGTTGTTCCTACCTGCAGGCCCATATTTCTAAGAGTGGGGGCAAACACTAGGGGATCTTCTAACCTCTACCTTGCTTTCTGGTCAATTTCAAGGCAGGAAGCCTTGTGCTGCTCCTTTATTTCCTACTTCCTCTCTCCTATTACTCAACTCTTTTCTCTTTGCTAAGCAAGCTCAGCCAGCAACTTCTTTTCTTAGATAATTTCTAATTTTCCCCACTGGGGTGAGTGTGATCAAATTTGCCACAGGAAAGGAAAGTAGGGCAAGTAACCTGTGATTGCTTTAAGCTACTCAGAAAACTCCAACAGTGTTTCTCCACCACCACAACTCCCAACAGAGTGTGGAGGACCTGTCAATGAAGCACAGTAAAAGGACTCAGCAGTAGCTGGTACTGAGAAAGACCACATCCTTGCTGTGTGCCTCAGTTCCAGCTCCATGGGGACACTTCAGAGCCATCTCCAGAAATACAAGACAGGAGAGAAACCACAACCTGCACCAGCAACTCTTCCTGAACAGCCGTCTCCTCTTCTGCAGAATGCCAATGTCATCGAAGCCTCTGAGCCTGCCCTGAGGAGCAGACCCCCTGCCAGAGAGCTCATGGGTCTGCTGGCTGACAGGGGACAGTGCACAGCTTCTCTGGAGCAGGCCTTGTGAGAATGCATGGGCCTGCTTCTGTCTGGTGGAAACACATGTTTTTTATAGATCCTGCGTCCTCTGCTACACTGAGCCATGAATACCTCCTTCGCTTGCTCCCGCTGTGATCCACATAGGTGAGTGCTCATCATCCAAAGCACAAACCTATCAATGGTGCAAACCTTGTGCTGTTCTGGAACAGGCTTAAATCCACAGTGAAGTTTCAGTACATACATCACCATCCCACTCCAGGCCCTGCAGAGGAAAACCTGCCTTGCTCATGGGTCATGCACGACATGTCTACTAGCGGTGTAGCCCCTACATCACGTATGGAAACTTCACTGTGGATTTGGGCCCGTTCCAGAACACAAGGTTTGCACCATTGATAAGTCTATACTCTGGATGATGAGCACTCACCTGTGTGGATCACAGTAGCAAGGGCAAGTGAAGGAGGTGTTTATGGCTCACTGTGGCAGAGCTCGCACCGCACAGCAGGAGGGAGGGCTGCACTAGGAAGCCAAGGACGGAGACCAATCTTCCAGCACCCAGGCCTGCGTCCAAATAAAGACAATAATACAAAATGTGAACGTGTCAGAACACACTACCCTCTTGGCTGAGTATTTCCATCTGTGTCTGTTTCTATTTGGGACCAAAGCAACAAACAGCATCATCAGGAGCACAGAGCCTCTTCTATTGCTCTCTGAAATGTCAGTTGCTAATGGTGACAGGATGCTTGAGGGTACAGCGTGACCTTGCATGTCAACAACTGATTAAAACTGCCATTTTTATGGCTTGCTACAGACATGCAATATTATCAGAACTAATTAAGAGGCCTTGATAGCAGTGTGTAAAATCTGAATGTTCATGAGTCCTAAGTCACTAACAGCCTCAAACCTGTCAGACAAGTCACACACCCACCCAACTTCTAACATGCTCTTCACCTATGAAGTCACGCAAGAGACAGCTCTTTCACTGTTTTCTTTTTTTGGAATAAGGATTTTTTTTTTTTTTTTTGCTCCTCGAATGACTTCAGGGCACTTTTGGCTGGCTGGAGTGTTGTGGGGATCGAACTACAGCAACCTGAGGCTGCCAGGATTGTGGAAGCAGCCACTTAAAGAACGGAGCTAGGGCCAGGCCCCCAACTGTTTTTTTTTTTTTTTTTTTGGCGGAACCAGGGATTGAACTCAGGCCCTTGCGCTTGCCAGGGAAGCTCTTATTCCACTGAGCCATCTCCTCGGCCCCTCTTTCATTGCTGCTACATTCCTTTTTATCACTGCTCTTTCTGCTGGGTTTGAATCATCAGCGCAATGAAGCTTGGCCTCCCATCCACAGGGCAAGCCTGTTTCCTGGGTCTGGATACAGGCAGTGCCCCTGCTCTCAGGCTCGCTGACCCAGAGGAACTGTTTCTGCTAGGTTTCCCTCTGGTCAAACTTAAGGCTACAAACACAGGGTCTGGGAGAGAGAGCTCACTGCACCTTGGCCAGCTAGATGCCACGGTGGAAAACCAAGGCTCCACCTCCTCCCCAGCATGGGGTGGGGAGAAGGCACTTGGCTGCTGATGAACTGGAATATTCTTAGAACCCAAGAAAGCCATGGCCCAGAGCCCTTGCTGCTCACAGTCTCCCAGTAGCAGGGGCTAGGATTCCACTTTTCTAAAAGATCAGGTAGGCTCAACACAAGGCTCTTTTGGATGCTTACATAGCTCATCAAAAAGAGTTCAGTAAACTGAACTCCAAAGGAAGACAGCCAAGAACATAGCGTGTAAGCTGCATACAATAGCTCTTCCAGAACCTGAACGGGGCAAAGCCTAACAGTATTTGGATTGGAAGGCAACTATTGTTCAGGCACTGCGGCAAGGAATGCTATTGGTAAGATTTCCCTGGAGAGTAGTATATATTTTACAGCTGCTGGGAGAGCAGGGAGACATAATTATAATCAGTTCGTGACACACAGTGCTTTCCTCAAGGCTGGGTTAATCTAGGGCACTGGAGACACAGCTTGAGCATGCAGGGTGAGGCCAGGAAGATGCCTCCTCCTCACATGGTTTGCCCCACAGCACACACCCACGGTAGTCAGCCTTGATCATGTCGCTGCTGCACCACTGGCCTGGCACATGCCACATGTGTCCTTTGAGGCACTCACTACCTAAGACACCCTGTAGTCCATGTTCAAGCTGTTTCTGCTCCATATCCACCCACCCTTGCTGCTGGGTAATAAGACCCTCACAATAACACAACCTCTCAGAGTTCAATGAACACACAGGTGTACTGTGTAACAGGAAATGCATGAGTCCCAGGGATCAGTCATGAGGACAGAGCTCACTGGAAGGCACCAAGTTCCACTGGATCAGTGGCTCCTGGCTGCATTCTGCAGCAGCCTCCAAGAGTATGCTAGAATCACACCAGTTCCTCTGGGCACAAAACCCCGAGACCAGCCATGCACAGCCAGCCACTGCAGATTTCAGTTAAAGCTGCCAACAAAGAATTTGCCATCCAGTGCCTCTCTAAAAGAAGGATCTACTACCAGAAGCCTATATACAGCACACCTCTCCTACATACTCTATGCTGGCCCTGAGGCCTCCCATGATCTGGCTCAGTCTACTGGGCCTTCACTTGTGGGGTCCTGACTTCCACAGACCCCAGTAACCTTGGCTGCCTTCTGGGACCCAAATATCCCTAGTATCCTTAGCTCCTCTCCTCTCCTCTGCCAGCCCCAGGGCTAGCTCCCATCTTGTTTCTACACCCTTTTCCCCCTTCATTTATTTCACACATGTATGAGTGATGCGTCCTACTCTCTGGCCTCTCTGCCTTGATGAACTACAAACTCACACAAGCAGTGACAGTGTCTTTACCTTCCTGTGTCTACAGGGTTAGCACAGTGCTTAAGGACAATGCTCAGGATAGATGCCACTAAGCATGTGCTAAACCACTGGGCAAGTGGAAAGGAACCTACCAGCACAGCAGACTTGGGGTCAGCCTCAGGGTATGGGGCAGGGCCTGTCAGCCAAGACACCGATGGGAAAGCTGTCTCTGGTTTATGCCCACTCTTCCATTTCCAGCTAAGACAACCACACCCATTCCATCTATACTAGACCTCACTCCTCCAGGCCAAAGTTGTAAGGAACAAGCTTTCAACTCCAGGATAAAGAATCAGTAAGGTGGTGGTTGGGGAGATAGCTCAGTGGAATAAGTGCTTAATCACTAGGAGGAAATTACCTTTACAGTGAAGAAAATCTGGTGATCACCTCAGTAAAGGATCATGAGACAAAGTGATCCATGATGGCCCTGGCATGACTGATGCCCTGACAAACATGGAGCCTCATTCAAATTCTTGATGCTATAAGGAAATTCAAAGAGACTTCCTGCAAATGAACTGGCCCAACTTCACTGACAGTGTCCCAAAGCACAACACATACTGCAGCTGCAGGCACAAGTCTAGATCAAGACAAGGAGCACAGCAATTATAATGCACAATGGCTGGGAAGAATGCAGCCATAAAGGCCATACTGGGCCACCCACAATGTTACACATAAGCATATGTTTCATAATATTTTGTATTAATTGTAAATTTCCTGCTGAGTATAGTGGCGCCTGCCTGTAATCCCAGCAATCAGGAGGCTGAAGCAGGATGACTGTCTTGAGTTTGAGATCAGCCTGAGCTATATAAACAAGTTCAAGGCCAGCCTGTACTATATGGCAAGATCTATCTCAAAAAAAAATTTCCCAAGAGAAATCTTTTTTTAGAAGGAAAACTGCAGACTGAACCTTAGCACTGAGTTGTATACTTAGGTACTTTACTTTTTTATTTTTGAGACAGGGTCTTGAACTTGCAATCCCCCTGCCTCAGCCACCCAGAGTGCTGAGATTACAGGTGTGCTGCTACAAGGCCAAGCTCTATCAGCAAACTTACAATGTAGTGTGGCTGTGAAGAGGAATGTACATCCTACTGCATTCATGCAGAACATTTCAGGGTGAAATGTAAAAATTAGTGCTACAAAATCCCAAACGGCACAGAAATATATGTTGTA